CCGGTGCCGGTAGCAACAAAAACTGCGGGGAACTATGCAAAAAACGCATCTTCGCACGGGCAGACCGTGCGTTGGCCAATTATTTATATTTGTCAAGGAAACCGAACAAGCTTCTTTTTACGACCCTGCTTAATGCCATCACTCTTCAGCTAAACTCTCTAATATTACCAAATCAACTCCAAACCGGTAAACACAACGTCTCCTAACTGCAAAAACTAGAAACCCACGAAACAACCGCTGCTTAATTTATAGCTTGAATGCACATTTGGGGCAGATTCGCTGTACACGGACAGTTATGATGGAATGCAAATTAATCTCTCACTAAACTCTCTAATATTATCAAATCAACACTGTCCTTATGCAGACGACTCAGTCACTAAGAGAGTCAGTCCCTTTACGACTGTCTCAGTGGAATATCCCGGGAAGTCAAACCTGCCGTCAGCTTGCTTATAAAGATGCCACTTTTGAGGAATCGCCAAAACTGTCATCTATTAAAAACTTCGCCGGTGGCTGATGCCATTGGCATACCCGAACATTTAGAGTACTTCCAAGTGTTTCCGTCTCTGAAAAAAAAAAAAAAACTGATACAAAATGGTTATTGACTTTTGACGAACCGTTATCTGGCTGTGGATACATCATTCGTGGATTGCGCGGTTGGTTACTCTGCCAATGTTGCTGCGGCGGCGGCGGCTGCTGCTGCTGTGGCATCCCTCCACTGTAGATCATTTGAGGCCGCTGTTGCTGCATCATCTGGAAATTGAATTTTTGCATTTTAACGGCTCGTAATTTTCAATCTATTACGCTTTTTATGGCTCTAAACGGAAAATCGGCAAAAAAAAAAGACTTATGCCGTCATAACTTATTGGATCATGTGAAATTACCTGTTGTTGATGTTGAGGAATCCAGACATGTTGTTGCTGCTGCTGTTGTTGTTGCGGTTGTTGCTGTTGCTGGTAGTACGGCGGATTTGGCGGCTGATTCTTAAACAAATCAGTTTTCGTTTGCTCTTATGGTGGTTGTACTAGACCCAATCACGGTCGGGACTTATGACAAA